ATACTCACCCCTAATAATCAGTCAACTTTTTTTTTTTTTTTTTACAAAGGCAATGGTTAAGAAATTAGTAGAGTTAGTTGTTAACAACTGGATTTTTCAGAATGGTGAACAATCCATCCCCTTAGAAGAGGCGCGCGACCATTAGATCATAAGATGGTGGAGTTCACGGCGGTGGCAGACCTCGAAGCTCTGACATTCACCTCACTCAATCCCTAAGGTTTGGAGGCCAACCATTGCGCCACAAGCCCGATTAGCTAATAATCAGTCAACCTAATAAAGTGAATGGCGAGTGGTTAATACTTAATACCCATCTCTTTTATTTTTTTTCCCTTAAATTAATACATAAAATATGTATTTAATGTGTATTTAAGACCACTCATTTCGGGTCTAAAGATATTGATTAAATAAATTCCCCATTAAATTTACTGAAAAGTTGAAAACAGCTGTGATACACTCAAATTCAAATTAAACCATTGGTGTAGTGTTGGATCCGTTGGGTCTTGAGAATCTCAATCACGTTATATGCGTGAAGTATGTAATGCGCCCCACAGCCCATCTGCAACATCGATAAAGTTATAATATTCAAATTTTGGAGGGTTAAGTGTGAAATGGCCGACGTTCATAGACACGATCATCCTAATTTCCTAGAGCTTAAAATAATTTAGGGGGTATCATTAATTATTCATTTTTCCTGCAGCTCATCACAATTAACCAGAAATCCTCTCATTTTGCTTGTATTTACTTGTCTAGTTTACCCTCCCTCCCCTCCTCTTCAGAGTTGGTTCAGAGGAAGTCATGGAGAGGATCGATCATTTCAGCCATCCACATCCTTTGGTGCTTGTGGATCAAGAGCCCGGTGATCATGGAAGTCGAAAAGGTTTTTGTTCTGGATGCAACGAAGCAGTAGAGGGTTATTGTTATAAATGCAGGAAAGCGGCAGAGGATTATTGTTCTGGATGCGAGGAAGAATTAGAGGGTTCCAGCTACGGTTGTGGTGAGTGTGGATTTTTCCTTCATAAGAAATGTGCTGAGTTACAGAGGAAGATCATTAATCACCCCCTCCACTCCGAGCTCCCTCTTACTCTTCATTTGGAAGATTATGCTCATAATAGCTGTAATGTTTGCAGGAAAGTTATCAGATTTTTTTATCGATGCAAGTCTTGTGATTTTGACCTTGACCTTAGATGTGCTATGCATCCTTAATTTGTTGCTCAAGAGTTTCAAAAGCTTCAACATTTTAGCCACGATCATCCATTGATACTTGTTGAAGATATTGAATGTCAAACCAAACATAAAGTCTGTCCAGGATGTAGGGAACCCATGTACAAGTCAAGTCCATTCTACTGTTGTCCCAACTGCATATTTCACCTTCACAAGAAATGTGCAGAGTTGCCTCTTAAGGTCAATCACCCTGGCCACCGGAAACACCCTCTAAAGCTTTTGACCAAACCCTTACCACATCAAGAGAAATGTTCTTGTCATTTGTGCACCAAGTCTTATGAGGGATTTGTTTATTATTGTTCTGTTTGTGAGTTTGATTTCAAAGCTGCGGATGCTTTTTTGCAAACAATTATAGCTGAAATTCATGAACATCCGTTGAACCCTATTTCGGGCAAAGTTTCATTCGTCTGTAATGCATGTGGAACAGATGGAAGTCATGTTTGCTTTACATGTGCTGAATGCAGCCTTATTATTCATACAGATTGCACTTCACTTCACCGCACCATCAAAATAATAAGGCATCCACATCCACTTTCTCACATCTATTGCTTTCAAGATGAGGAAGCTGGAAGACGTGAATGCAATATTTGTCATGATGAAATAAATCTGGGATATGGGAGTTACTGCTGTTCAGATTGCAACTATTTTGCTCATATAAATTGTGCAATTGATGAAGTTCTTTTAGAAGATGAAAGGTTCAAACCATCAGATGACTTGATTGCTATCTCTCCTGCTTTTCAGGAAATCAAACCTGGCGAGATAAAGCATTTCAGCCATAGACACAACTTAATATTGAGTGATGATGGGGTTGAAGATGGCCAAAGTTGTGAAGGTTGCATGCGTTCCATCTCTACTTCATTTTACTATTGTGCACAATGTAATTTCTTTCTCTGCAAGTGCTGTGTTCATGGGTTACCCAAGGAGGTGCGTCACTGGATTTGCATGCACTTAAGAGAACTCTTTTTCTATTCCATCTTTTATTGTGACTATTGCGAGTTTTGGAGTAGTGGGTTTGGCTACCATTGTAATGCATGCAACGACATTATGTGCATCCGGTGTAATGAAATTCTTGACACTCGTAGTGTAATTATAGATGGACAAGAGCACTTCCTTTTCTTTGACCACAAATACATAGGGAAATGTTATGGTTGTGATGATTATGGTTTTAGGGGCAGTTTTAGATGCGGGGACAAGAAATGCAATTTTGCCTTGAATTATAGATGCCTTGTGCTACCAAAAACAGCTTCGTACAAACATGACAATCATGCTCTCAAGCTTACTTATCGTGATGATCATGATCTAAGTCAATGTTGTTGTGACATATGTGAAGAAGACAGAGATCCGAAATATTGGTTTTATCATTGTAGTGATTGCAATGTTTTTGCTCATCTTGATTGTGTGCTTAGGGAATCCCCATTTGTCAAGCTCGGGAAACCATTCCAGATTGAGGGTCATGAACACCCTGTCACTTTGGTGAAGATAGATTTTTACCCCCCTGAATTCAACTTCTGTTGTGAACCTTGTAGAGATGATCTATCCATTCAATGCACAGAGCCAGATTGCACCTACATAATCCATTCGCAGTGCTACTGGGAGGATAGAGATGTTCGGAATTGGTATCTTCTACATACAGACTGAAGAGCTGACACTGGTATTGTTCTTATGATATTATGTCTCTTATTAAGGTACACGAAAATGAGATATCTCATTTGCACTTCGTTTTGTTTTCAACTGATTTTTAAGTTTAATTTAATCTTCTAGCTGTCGGATGATGTGGTCGGACTATAACTTATTTGTTTCTACCAAATATGTGATATGATTATTGTTTGAAATTTGAATGTATTGCTTTAAATAGTTGTTTTTTCTTATCAATAATTCGGTTGTCTCTGTATTTCAAATACCAGAAAAACATTTCTTTCTTCTTTTCTTTTCTGATTTTGATGTTTATTTGTTTCTCTGTGTCCTATATATGCTTTCTTTGATGGTTCATAGATCCTGTACTTGTACTTCTACACACAAAGAAAATATTTTAATAACATGATACCCTATCTTGTTTCTGAAACTTATTGCTAGCAATTTTTATTTTGCAAAATCATATAAATTTTGACCAAATTAACAATAAAAGCATTCCTTGTGGAGATTTCTGAAGGGAAAACCTTATAAATTTTTTGTTCCCTTTTGGGAAAGCCTTATAATTAGTTCTTGTTCTTCTTTACACTATTTTTGAAGAATTGAACTCGGAACCTTTATTGACTCTAGCCAGTTCTTTGATCACTACACAAATGCTTTATTGGCTTTCACAGTCTCTATCTACCTTGATAAAGTAACAGAAATTAGAATAACTGCTCATAAATTCATGATTCATGAACATGAGAGAAAGGACAAATCTAAGGGTTATAAACTGATCATTACATGTCAATATGTCATTGTACCCTCAACTTATCTCAGAAGATCAGAACTAACATTAGGAATCGAAGCAATACCAGTTATAACCATCAGTTAACAAAACAGATAGTTGGAAGATCAAGCGAGCTCCACAGACAAAATCCACCTTCATCGCCTGAAGATGACCCTGTTTCCACTGAGCTGCTTGGAGAATCCAAGCTCTCCTCCACTTTCTTCCCCATCACTTCATTTTCATTTCCTTCTCCTTTCTTGTCCTCTAGACTTTAAATTGAGAGTTCAGCTTTTACTCTTCCACCCTTGACATTTTCTAATCTAAGCCTCAGTCTCAACACTCTAATATTCCATTGAAAGCATAAAGAGAAGCAGAGAACTTCCCCTGAGACTTCATTCTCTTCATGGCAGCTCTTAACATTGAGGGCTCGTTCACGAAATTCTCTACCTCCACTGGCCCCTCAATCTCTTCAGCCATCTCAAAGGGAGAATAGTAACTGGATGATGCATTATCATCCACAAAATGAAAATCAAGTGCTTCTATATCAGGTCCTTCTTCGACAATGTCATCACACCTAAAAGATTGAGCAGCATCACTGAAATTGCAATAATCCAACCCCAAATCTCTCCCACTAGAATCCTCCTTTGTTAAACATGATTCAAGACTCGTTGTCAAGTAATTAGAAGCATTTGCAGTAGTATTACTGATGTAGCAGCCATTGGAGATGCTGTAATCTTCAGGATCATTGAGAAAATTAGTGAACTGTGTATCAAACAAATCCCCTAATTCTCCATTATGCTTCTTCTCTTCTCCTTAAATTTCTTGCTTGTTAATCAAGGAGGAATTTGGCAAGGAAGCAAAGATGCCGTTCTGGCTCTTAGCCTTCGAAGAGGGAGGCTAGTGATCTTAGAATGAAGAGCTGGGATAGGATTAGATGCCAGAGAACGTGGCTAGAAGTTGATCCTGGTGTTGGCACCATGGAGGATGCAGGCTGCCTCATCATAAGCCCTGGCTGCTTCCTCAACAATGTCATAGGTGCCTAGCCATACTCTTATCTTTTGTATGGTGTTTTTGATCTCTGCCACTCATCTTCCAGATGGCCTTTGCTAGACTCCAACAAATCAGTCCAAGCCCTCCTAGCTCCTCCCAGGGTAGTAGCAATTGCTACTTCCTTCACCATCTCATCCCAAGCCATTGTTTGCTTTCTGGTGCCCTTCTCTTCCATCACTGCTTGTACCCTTTTTATTGTATGACATGGGAGTTAAATGGTGAAAAATGATAATCAACAAGACAAAAAATGGTCAAGATCATGTCCTAAACAAGGCAAAGTCTTAATCACCATACAACAAAGGTTTAGCAGAGTTGTTATCTATTCGAGTTTTAAAACTTAATTGTGAGACTAAGATTAAGGGTTTAAACCTCCAGTGAAATATTTTTCTTCCTTCCTGATAGCTTAAATTGCCAAAACTGGATCAATTTCCTGAGCTCTTCCAAACATTTTTTTTTCCTTTCCCCTTAAATCCCATTTCATGCTACAGATTTGAAGCAGAGACTTCTAGATTTTCTTTCATTTCCTCATTTTGATTTTTTTCCATTTTCCTGTGTTAGGATCATTATATGCTATGTAAATCAAAATAGAAAAATCCAATTTTCTCCAGTGAAAAATAGCCATAAAATCCGTACAGAATTGCAAGGAGCAAGATTTGATTCCTACAATATCTGCACAATGGGAAAGGAAGCTTACAATGAGTCACTATCAACTCTATAAAAGATCAAAAACAGTGGGTGCAAAGCCCTCTCAAAGAACCAGGCAATCAGTTTCCTCTTGGCATTGCTTATCAAAGTCAAAGAAATCAGTTTCTACAAAGCATCATCACCAACAAAACATTGTCCACTTGATTATAATTATATGATTTATGCATCAGTAATTTTTTCTCAAGTCATTTTCAGCACTTTAAGATGATGAAAGATCCTTACATTAGATTATTCTATAATATTTGTCTTCTGGTCCTACTAGCTTGATGGGCCTTTCATCAGCAATTAGCAGAGATATTGACATCTTGTACTGACCCTAATTGTAAAAGGTAGATTTCTATGCACCAAGCAATTAAAAAATGAATAGTTAAAGTTTATGTAACCATGAAAAAGATTATAATATGTAAGTAGGGAAAAGTAAGAAAAAAAAAGATAATAATAATGAAGATGATCTTTAGATTGAGTAGAGACAAGCATAGCCTGCATTGACCAAGTTAATTATAGGACTGAGTAGACTTTGAATAATCCTCAATTTTACATCTTAAGCTTTTAAGATATATTCTATTATTACATTGTTTTATTATTAGATTTTAAATAACTCTAATGAATAGAATAACTTCGGGAATTGAAATTGCATCTAAGTTTTAGTTTAAGTAAATATTGAAAACTAATACAAAGTTGATTTGCTAATAGAAAAAGGAAGATACCACTAATAATAGAGATATTGAATTTGAAGTTGTCTAATGGGCACAAATTTTCCCTATTCTGTTTGTTATGATGGTTTTTAATGCCATTGGAATTAATTAAACAGAGACATTTTTAGTTTGGCCAAAAAACAAAGAAAAGAGAGAACATTTTTATAATTTGTTACCCTGCACTAGAACAATCCATAAATTATGTATAACAGCATATATCATGATAGAAAATTTCAAGATTATAACCTAGGCATGATTTACACATAAACCAAGCTTTCACATGTCAAAAGCAAGATCAAGTGGTTTTTCAATTCATGTGTTGATTTTTTAAAAATTAAAATAATTATCCTATCATGGACTTCATAAGAGTTCTTTTATTGAATAATGATCAGCAATAATTTTGAATAATTCTATAAATAAGTTAATACCTTAATATTCAATAAAATATGTCAATGAAATGTTGTTATTAAGTTACAACTGAGTTGCATATAATTTTTGACCTAAAAAAAAAGGAAAGTTACAACTGGAGTTCAAATTGAATATGGATCAAATTTAAAATTTGAATGTATAAATGAAAAGGTGAAGCGTAATGAATGGTGGTAAAACAAAGTTGGCTCAGATAATTAAATTTGAGATTTGGTTGAAGAAAAAGCATAGAGATTTTCTAATGGGACAAATTTTTTGCTTCTCTTTGGTATGTTGGTTTATTATATCATTGAAATTAACTAAAAACAGATACATATTCTATAATATAATATCTTATCACTAAAATAGAATTACAATCTAAATAAAAGGCTAAATAAACCTTGACATGATGTATGGACGGTTTATTTAGTAAATTAAGGATGATTATTTTGAGTAAGTCTTCAATTTTTGGGTTCAGATCCCTTAATCCAATATGCCTAAGTGAACAGTTTCTTATGTTACTAAACCTGGTTGACACCTCTAGTTTTGCTCAAGCTGCCAATGCTAAAGAAAATAGTATCTTGCAGCATATCAACTAAATATGTTAATATAAAGTATACCTAAATTTAAATGAATGTTGATCAAGTTAGAATTTAGTGTACAAATTGGTCATAGCTTTCAAATGCAATGTCTTAATCCTTGGAATAAATTAACAGATTACGAGATGCAAAAGAGCCGTTCCCTGTTTTGTAACCTAAAGTATTATGCATCAAAGAATTAAATGGTAATGAGTGCATGAGATTAACTAACTTTGACATAGCTGATCCAAGTAATTAACCATAGATTTGGTGGGGGATTACACCGTTGAGATTGAAAAAGAGAACATTCAAGTCGTCCAACGGGGCAAATTTTCCCTTTTTATGCATTTGGTGTGTTGGTTTTCTTACATCATTGAAGTTAACCACACCCAAAGGCATTTTTCAAAAATTTATGCACATAAAATAGAAAGAAAACAAAGATGCACTCTCAGCAATAGGTAAATAAATATGTAAATAAAGATGTATGATTATTGTACACAAAATAATGTTGATATTGTGGCAGCATAAAATTTAGGATGACCCCTTGGTGACTACTGACTAGAGCTGCAATCCAGCTTGTGCTGCCACATATCTTGTCCAGATGCTTCCTCATGACTAACATGACAAACGCAAAAAGAAGAAATTTGTCGGCATTAGCCTAAGTAATTAAGTGGTTCATTATGATTTGACTCTATCTATCAGAATTCTGCGTAATGGAAACCTAGGTATATGCCATTCGTTCACTGCTACTTCACTCTGGTTATAAACTAGCACTAAAGTCAATGCCATAGACAAAATAGATAAACAGAATGAGATTGCTGCATTTGGCATGTATAACAGGATGAAAATTGACAGGCAATGAACAACTCACATTTTTCAGAGGATACGTTTGCTGATTCCTTGGTCCTATAGCAGACAGAGAGACCAAGATCCTGAAAGGTTACAAATTCAAAATTCTCTTATCTTCATACGGTGTAAAAATATTCTAACATATAATAGCAAATATAAATAAACAAAATTTAACTTATATGAATTACTATGGGCTTTTAGAATATAGAAATTGATGTGGAGATCTGTAAGATTGTCAAAGATGCTTTGTGCTTATTGGAATATCAGAATCCAAAATTCTAGAGAATGAAAATCTTCTGCAGGAGATATGAAACCAAGCCATATTTAGAGATTTCTTAGAGGTTAAAATATATATATAAAGGGAATCAACATGGCATAATGTCTAGGTGTACAGGTATACAACACAAGCAAAACTATATTGTGGAGTAGCAACCTCATTTTTGGAAAGGCTTCATCTAGTGTATGAACAGAAAGGATTTCCTTTCGTTAGCATCACAGACCATCTACAGAATTAGAATACAGCTAGAACTAGATATAGCTACTTACTGATTTCCAAATTCCATTAGAAGAATACTTTACCAGCTAGTAAACCTAGAACGTTGGAACTAGATATCGCAGCTTCACACTTCAGCAGCTAGTGCACCTTGAATATTGGATTGGTATCAAATGTGGATCATGATATGCAATTAGTAAAGTTTCAAGAAACTCAGAAATGGTAGGATCATTCTGGTCTTCTCTATCTTTCTTTACAAAACACTTCATAACACACAATATTTAGGTTATTTAGGTGATTCCTAGACAGGCATAGAAAGAATGGAAGCGAACCAAGACAACTGGAACAGAGAACATAATCACAGATGAAAATTTTAACAGATAGTATCCGAAACATGATAAGTCAGTAAGAAAGAACACATTCTCTATGCATAGTTTAACTCCAATTAAGGGCAGAGCTCATTAGGCATCCAATGTCCCATGTAGACGACCCACAATCC